CAAATCCAAATGGATACGTGACATTACAGTCGTAATATGCCGCGCTTGTGGGCGTGGCAAGCGACGCCGCGCCTGGCAGATGAGTTGTCGCACGTAGCCATTTGGATTTGGGTAACACTGGGACAGAAAATCTTTTTAGCGCTATGAGGAGACTTGTCTCTGCTTAAATTATTTCGCCGCTTCAATCAGTAAACTAACGCGTACGGGAATTCGCCGCGCATCGACCGCGCGATGGGCCGCGCGCGACGACGCGACGAATTACGATTGTCTTCTCCGGGGCACATTGTTGGTTGGGAATTTTTATCAAGTCCGTGTCCCCCCCCCCTAGCTCCCTCTTTAATACGATGGAGTTGTCGAGCGAGGTATATAACACATATGAAACGGAAAAAAATCGCGGGAAGTTAACAAGCAAGGCAGTTTTTCCCAAGCTCATTTCTCTCGAAGGCAAATGCGACCCTCTGGGGATTTCCCAACTATGTGTCCTACTCTCCAAATACCTGTCGAGTCAATCCATACCGGTCTATCGCTGAGCTTTCATTGTCTGGAACTTACCCTTTCTTCCAGACTTGCGGATAGCGACGCCCGGCACGGATCGATACCCATCTTTAGCATTGGAGCGCTATTACTGTAGCGAGACGTCACGCGTCATCGCGAAGTCTGAGCGCAACTCTCTTTGGCACAGATTTCGTACGGATTCACTGTTAATTAGCCCGATAGTTGGCATGCCCTCTTCTGCCAAGCGTTGAAAGTCGTACCCGACTTCCACTCGTGAGTTATCCTTCTGTTTGACCCGTCTACTTGTACTCGCACCGGTGTATACTTTGTGAATGTTGTCTTGCGCTACTTGTAAGTGTATGTATGCGTGTAAGTCACCGTGTCATTTCGCCCAATATCCTTGCTACGCCTTTCCCCAGTGCTGCAACACGTTTTCGTTCAAGCTCTTTCAAGTAGCGTTAAGTGAACAATCATCTTTGTTCATAATCTGAGTCGCTTCTATAAGCGACAATTTTACATCGATGACGATATTAAGGAGAGAATTACGTGTGACTTATAATAGACCCCTAAGAAGAAATGTTGAAGAGCTTATCGTGATTTCGAGTGCCCCATTAATCAACAAATTGGTTGTAATTATATGAAATGCTTTGTTCTCCCTAGGGCGCAGAGGATTTGCCTTGTAGTTCATGGTCAGACGTAGGTTGACATCTTTTTCCTTTCTTTTTTGTACAGAAGTTTTTGTTTGATGTTTAATGAATTTACCATTTATCAGAAGTGTAATGAATATGTTAACGCTTGTTGTTGTTGTTATTGTTGTTTAATCAAAATGCACAGCACAAAAGTAAAAAAAAGCCGAAATGCCCCGTGTGGCTCCCTGTGGAGCCACGCTAATACGTGCATAGGGCGAAGAAATGGAATGGTCGAGCGAGTTCTCAATTGTTGATGCCAGCTGTTTCTCCTTATTACCTCACTCACCATACCAAATAGAGAGAGTCGGTGGCGAAACAACCGCCCCACCAGAAAGCCTTTAGAAATGGCGTTGGGTGTGGTACGGGGCAGTGGGCGTGGCACTGCCTACGTCGCGAGTCGGTAGCGTCGTTATCACGAATTTCTAAGCTGGTAAAATAGTGCATCACCAGTCGGATCTCCCGGCTGACTCCGAGCTCTCATCCTTCTCTTTAGCTCGGGCGAGCTGGCCTGGCTGGTCGACATCACCTTACCCTCCCCACCACCGATCTAGCTGCTTCATTTCTGCAAGAGTGGACAGCTAGATAGGTGAGTCCTCGCCATATGCCTTCCCCCTCCCCCTTCCGTGTCCATCCAATAGTATTTGCAGTGATTCACGTGGTTCCCGGGAAGAACCCGTTCCCCTGGACCAAAACCACTTGCCTTGTTATTCGGTTAGTCGCATATTTCGTATCGCCAATAGTTTCTTGTTCACTTTAGCTAGAAGTGATGCCTAAGTGTGAATCGTAGATATTATATTGTATATATTGTAGGCCTGAAGAAGAGCTTAAGGCCCGAAACGTTGCCAAATAAAT